CTAGTTGTTAACGCTAAGAAGAGGATGTCTCATTAAATCTAGCAGTCAATATTTTGAGATTTAGGCCATACTTGTTGTTAGTGTAGTGATGAGAAAACATAACATGGGCCCAGTAAAGATCATGTTTTATCTGTAGCCTTGTTATAAACAGGGTCTTGGTTTATTAACCCCTTTTTACATTAGAAAATATATCGTTCTAAAAATGCAACTAATGAATGAACTGTGCCAATTTTATGAGCCTTGATAATTTTGTGTAAAATAAATGTTAACCTAACAATCGACCTTCACATTTTCCTGCAGAATTTTTAACGTCATTGCCGAATACATCAAGATGACTTCAAGGACTAATTTTAACTTCTTCAAGAAGAGTTCCGCAGATAACCGTGCCGAGGACGGTTTCCATTTACACTACAATTGAAGAACCGTTCTCAGACCACTTGAGTTTACTGTAATGTAAATCGTGCCATTTTATTGCAGACTTGTCCGGACCGAGTAATGCTTTTTATCGGCCTAGTATAAAATGGGTTATTGTCTCATCTAATAACTAGATGCTTCAGGCAAGGCAGCACTACAAAATTGAAATTCCCTTTTTATTATAAAGGTAGGAAAAATAGCTTTAAAATCAGCGATTTTCTTCGATATTTCTCTAATAACCCCAATCACAAGGCATATAGTTAACAGTATGTAGCCTAATCGGACATAAAAAGTTACACAGTCTACTTATACACAATTAGCATAATGAAGAGCGAAGGATATTTTGTGACAGAAGTGTAAAAGAGTAAAATGTTTTGTTTCTCATTGCATATGCTCGAAACAATCTTAGCGCTAGGATGTCCTAGAACAGGCCACATATTCTCGAAACAATCTTAGCGCTAGGATGTCCTAGAACAGGCCACGTATTCTCGAAACAATCTTAGCGCTAGGATGTCCTAGAACAGGTCACGTATTCTCGAAACAATCTTAGCGCTAGGATGTCCTAGAACAGGTCACGTATTCTTGAAACAATCTTAGCGCTAGGATGTCCTAGAACAGGCCACGTATTCTCGAAACAATCTTAGCGCTAGGATGTCCTAGAACCGGCCACGTATTCTCGAAACAATCTTAGTGCTAGGATGTCCTAGAACCGGCCACGTATTCTCGAAACAATCTTAGTGCTAGGATGTCCTAGAACAGGCCACATATTCTCGAAACAATCTTAGTGCTAGGATGTCCTAGAACAGGCCACGTTTTCTCGAAACAATCTTAGTGCTAGGATGTCCTAGAACAGGCCACGTATTCTCGAAACAATCTTAGTGCTAGGATGTCCTAGAACAGGCCACATATTCTCGAAACAATCTTAGTGCTAGGATGTCCTAGAACAGGCCACGTTTTCTCGAAACAATCTTAGTGCTAGGATGTCCTAGAACAGGCCACGTATTCTCGAAACAATCTTAGCGCTAGGATGTCCTAGAACAGGCCACGTATTCTCGAAACAATCTTAGCGCTAGGATGTCCTAGAACAGGCCGCGTATTCTCGAAACAATCTTAGCGCTAGGATGTCCTAGAACAGGCCGCGTATTCTCGAAACAATCTTAGCGCTAGGATGTCCTAGAACAGGCCGCGTATTCTGGAAACAATCTTAGCGCTAGGATGTCCTAGAACAGGCCACGTATTCTCTAAACAATCTTAGCGCTAGGATGTCCTAGAACAGGCCACGTATTCTCGAAACAATCTTAGCGCTAGGATGTCCTAGAACAGGCCGCGTATTCTGGAAACAATCTTAGCGTTAGGATGTCCTAGAACAAGCCACGTATTCTCCAAATGATCTTAGAGCTAGGATGGCCTAGGTTATTATCTTCTGACATTGATTCTAGGACATCCTAGCGCTAAGATCGTTTCAAGAATACATGGCCAGGGGTTTTCAATCTCATTTCAACACTGTTTCTGGGATATCTTAGCGCTAAGATGGTTTGAGAATGTGCGGCCAGAAGTATTCATGTTTACAGAATCTGGGTTGATGACAAAATGATCTCCTATAATTGTCAAATATAATCTTGATCAACCAGACCCTTTTAATGAATGTAATTTCAAATTTTCTACTCTGCATCTGAATAAATTAATGAAGATAGGCAATGACCTGCAGTGTAAAATAAGGGAAATGAATAAACCTACCTAGAGTATACTGGTAACCATAGTTGTTTAATCTTTCCTGGAATGAGGTGAAGCCCAATAATTCTCCCTCGCGAGTTGGATAGGTTCGTCTTCCTGAAAATATACAATAATTATAACATGAGCACCTGATGACACTCTAAATCTGGGTTTCTCAGCTCAGCATCCTTTTCTATAAAGTTAACAAATAATGTCTAGATGATGCAGCAACCTCCAGCATGCACAATGTCATCTTTACAACATCAATCTATTACAAACTTCTTCTAATACCTTGACTGCAATAGCCACTATTCTTGTATCATGAAAGTTTGTAAAAGTATTGAAGTGATCTGACTAGCTTGTATACAAGGGAATACAGCCAATCAGAGGTCTCAAAAATGATGTTTTCAGTCTTTATGTCGAGGACTCTGATTGGCTGTTATTCACAAGCATACAATCCAATCAAATTGCTGCATTCTGTGATACGAGAAAGGTAGCTATTGCAGTCATGGTATAAGTACAAAGTTTGTAATAGCTTGACATTATGAAGATGAGTAAAGGTATAAGATGAAGTTTGTAATAACTTGACATTGTGAAGATGAGTAAAGGTATAAGATGAAGTTTGTAATAGCTTGACATTATGAAGATGAGTAAAGGTATAAGATGAAGTTTGTAATAGCTTGACATTATGAAGATGAGTAAAGGTATAAGATGAAGTTTGTAACAGCTTGACATTGTGAAGATGAAGTTTGTAATAGCTTGACATTGTGAAGATGAGTAAAGGTATAAGATGAAGTTTGTAACAGCTTGACATTGTGAAGATGAAGTTTGTAATAGCTTGACATTGTGAAGATGAGTAAAGGTATAAGATGAAGTTTGTAATAGCTTGACATTGTGAAGATGAGTAAAGGTATAAGATGAAGTTTGTAATAGCTTGACATTGTGAAGATGAGTAAAGTATTTCTCTCCTATCCCCCCCCTCCCCAGGACAGCTCACCCTCAATCTAACTCCTTACCTGACTATTTCTCTCCCCCCCACCACCAGGACAGCTCACCCTCCTTACCTGAATGTTGCTATCCTATATATAATAATAGGTAATATTAAGTATAATGTCAATACTCTGTAATTTATTTATTTTGGCATCAGTTCAATTTCTTATAATTTAAAATGTGTGTTGTCTTCTGTTCAGGACTAAATCTTGTAAAATTTGTAGTGTAATTTAGGTCGTGGATTATAAAGATAGGTGTAAAGGTCACATTAAATACTCAATAATCCATTCAAAATCTCCAGCTGGACAATAAAACTTATAATCATAATAAAAACAGGGTTGTTATATTATAATTATATCTAAGATAAGATCTACAGTGGTATAGTTTTATTAGTGGAGGTTTGATATTATCTAATCTTAATTTGTAATTCCGGTGAAGGGGTGAGATATTTTTCTGCCATCCCATTTGAGTTCAAACTGGGACAAATTGGGGCAGACTGGCTTACTAGGGGAAGGGGACAACTGTCTGACTGTGACTCAAATTGAGATGCGGAAGCACGATGGAAACCCAGTAATCACTATCACAGTCTTCAATGGATGGTCTGAGAGGTTTCTGCTCTATACAAAATCTAAAAAAAAATTGGTTTTTTGCCTGCTGACACATATTTTAGAGCAAAAATATATAGAAATAATATTTAGAAATTTCTTAAAATCCATGTACGGTTACAAACTATTTCCTTAGATGACAAAATGGCTCCCTCTGTGGCGCCACTAGCACGGCCACTGGCTTACAACCTTAAAGTTGTCAAAAATACCTCCAAAATAACCAGAAATGATTTCTACCCTGGTAGCGTGCAGCAATAACACCTGTCCCCCTTCACACTCTGGTCAACAGAACTAGTAGTATTCAATATTGCCATTATGGTGAATCATTAATCTGACAGATTTATAGAAAAACTTACCACTGTCCATTCTATAATAAAACACAAACAGCTTAGATTCCTGAAATTATTCCGAAATCATCCTGAAATTGACTTGGAATTCTCCTGGAACTATCCTAAAATTGACTTGGAATTGTCATATAATTGTCCTTGAATTCTCCTGGAACTATCCTGAAATTGACTTGGAATTCTCCTGGAACTATCCTGAAATTGACTTGGAATTGTCATAGAATTGTCCTTGAATTATCCTAGAACTATCCTGAAATTGACTTGGAATTCTCCTGGAATTCTCCTGGAATAGTCCTGAAATCGTCCTTGAATTATCCTAGAACTATCCTGAAATTGACTTGGAATTCTCCTGGAATTCTCCTGGAATAGTCCTGAAATCGTCCTTGAATTATCCTAGAACTATCCTGAAATTGACTTGGAATTCTCCTGGAATTCTCCTGGAATAGTCCTGAAATCGTCCTTGAATTATCCTAGAACTATCCTGAAATTGACTTGGAATTCTCCTGGAATTCTCCTGGAATAGTCCTGAAATTGACATGGAATTCTCCTGGAATTCTCCTGGAATTCTCCTGGAATTCTCCTGGAATAGTCCTGAAATCGTCCTTGAATTATCCAAGAACTATCCTGAAATTGACTTGGAATTCTCCTGGAATTCTCCTGGAATTCTCCTGAAATCGTCCTTGAATTATCCAAGAACTATCCTGAAATTGTCATAGAATTATCTTTGAGTTATCAACTTCCAGATTACAGATACTTCATTTTAAATGAAAAAAACTTGCTACACAATTAGATAATCATCACTCAACACCCAAAATAGAGGTTAAAATATCTGATAGACATCACAATGTTCTAAATTTAACAACAAACTATTAATATAACTTCTGATTGTCATCTAATTAAATTATTCACCTGGTTAATTAACTAATTACTCAATTAACAACTATTAAAAACACTTCCAACATATTTGTCTCAATGGTTAAGACAGAACAGAACAAAATTTCCTGGGTATAAGACTTAATACCAGTAGGTTTTACCCCAAAACTTTTAATTCCACAGGCAGTGCTTATCTGAATTTTACCCACATAAAACAAAATAGATTGCATTCAGGGAAATTCTAAATTCACAGTTTCATTTTTCAATCCAAGCCACTCATTCTTAACACATAAAATCCAATTCAATTAAAAACCACTCATTCTCATGCCACAGGTAGTGCTTTCGCGTGTTTTTCCACATAAACGCATTAATTTGAAATCAATCAAAAACCACTCATTCTCATGCCACAGGTAGTGCTTTCGAGTGTTTTTCCACATAAACGCATTGTTTCAAATCAATTAAAAAGCAAATTCATGCCACAGGTAGTGCTTTCGAGGGTGTCCTCCATTTTTAAAGCAATAATGACATCTCTCTTATCACCCATCATATCTGACTTGTCCTCATTTTAAAACTTCCACATTCTGTTTATAAAACAATTGAACTGATACCTGCTAAATTCAGGACAGTCTAGGTGGCAAATATTTAAATTTTTACTCAATTTCAAATATCATGATGCCTAATATTGTAATGTAATATTGACACCTTCATTCTGTATTCAATTGTGCCAGTGGCGTTTCTACGTTTCAAAAATAAAGCTAGCCTGGCAATCTCCCCTGAGTTTCAAATTTGTTTTTATCATTAGAGTTCTCAAATGCCTGCTCACCTCCCGTGACTTATTCTATGCTGTGAACCCTCTTGACTTATACTGTGCTGTGAACTCCCTTGACTTATACTGTGCTGTGAACTCCCTTGACATATTCTGTGCTGTGAACCTCCCTTGACTTATTCTGTGCTGAGAACCTCCCTTGACTTATTCTGTGCTGAGAACCTCCCTTGACTTATTCTATGCTGTGAACCTCCCTTGACTTATACTGTGCTGTGAACTCCCTTGACTTATTCTGTGCTGTGAACCTCCCTTGACTTATTCTGTGCTGAGAACCTCCCTTGACTTATTCTTTGCTGTGAACCTCCCTTGACTTATTCTGTGCTGCGAATTCCCTTGACTTATTCTGTGCTGAGAACCTCCCTTGACTTATTCTGTGCTGTGAACTCCCTTGACTTATTCTATGCTGTGAACCTCCCTTGACTTATTCTGTGCTGTGAACCTCCCTTGACTTATTCTAAGCTGTGAACCTCCCTTGACTTATACTGTGCTGTGAACCTCCCTTGACTTATTCTATGCTGTGAACCTCCCTTGACTTATACTGTGCTGTGAACACCCTTGACTTATTCAATGCTGTGAACCTCCTTGACTTATTCAATGCTGTGAACCTCCCTTGACTTATTCTAAGCTGTGAACCTCCCTTGACTTATACTGTGTTGTGAACCTCCCTTGACTTATTCTATGCTGTGAACCTCCCTTGACTTATACTGTGCTGTGAACACCCTTGACTTATTCAATGCTGTGAACCTCCTTGACTTATTCAATGCTGTGAACCTCCTTGACTTATTCAATGCTGTGAACCTCCTTGACTTATTCAATGCTGTGAACCTCCTTGACTTATTCAATGCTGTGAACCTCCCTTGACTTATACTATGCTGTGAACCTCCTCGACTTATTCAATGCTGTGAACCTCCTTGACTTATTCAATGCTGTGAACCTCCCTTGACTTATACTATGCTGTGAACCTCCCTTGACTTATTCAATGCTGTGAACCTCCTTGACTTATTCTATGCTGTGAACCTCCCTTGACTTATACTGTGCTGTGAACACCCTTGACTTATTCTGTGCTGTGAACCTCCCTTGACTTATACTGTGCTGTGAACCTCCCTTGACTTATTCTATGCTGTGAACCTCCCTTGACTTATACTGTGCTGTGAACACCCTTGACTTATTCAATGCTGTGAACCTCCCTTGACTTATACTATGCTGTGAACCTCCTCGACTTATTCAATGCTGTGAACCTCCTCGACTTATTCAATGCTGTGAACCTCCTTGACTTATTCTATGCTGTGAACCTCATTGACAATTCTGTGGCTCCTATTCAGCCCCTCAAACTAACCGTCTTCGTGTGCCTCAAAATATTCAAAAACAATTTAATCTTGATCAAATGTACATTCATGTTTTTGTTAAGTGTGAGGCTGTCGATAATTTCCAAAATCTCACAGTATCGTAAGCTTAGTTAACGATGAATCTAAACTACATAATTTTCAATAAAATCAAGAAAAGAACCGTTTTATACTATACTCTAATATCCACAATCAACTGTCAACTACATAACCACCATTTCTACAGAATGAATTTTTCTAATCATTTTTGTATGAATTGAAATATCAACTCCAAAATATGAATTTTGTGTAATGTAAACAGACAAGAGTTCTGATACCATTCCATGTCTGGCCCACCTCAAAATATGTCAGTCTTTGTGTTTCAATTAGACTACAGCATCCAGAAACAGACAGAATCTGCAGGTATATAGTCACTAATTCCTCAATAAACAGTAATACTGTGGTCAGTGGACAAAATTACCTCAAAGAGCTTACATTTAGCCATCAAGTGATCAAAGAATTTTCACCTGTTGACAGAGCATCGAGATTGACCAATGAGAGAAGAGATACTAGGTCAGTATGGCCGACACCAAATATTGTAGAATCAACTATTGAATATATAAACACTAGTAGTCTCTGACCATTGATACAAGTTTTAAATACCACTAGTTTCACTGTTAGTAGTTTACTTTTTGAAGTCAACAAGGAGAATTGTTGAGGTTTTTCTCTAAATCAACAACGTTCAATCAGCCTCCATGACAAAAAATAATCTCAATGGAGTTATGTGATGATTCAGCAGAATTGGTTACAACTTACTGATATAGCTTACTTCTACCCCTTTTTATTTACCAACTGATAAAGTTCAACTTGGGCTACCTGTCCTGTAGCCCTTTCCATTTACCAACTGATATAGCTCAAGTTTTGCTATACGTGTCTCTTTCCATTTACCAATTGATATAGCTCAAGTTTTGCTATATGTGTCTCTTTCCATTTACCAACTGATATAGCTCAAGTTTTGGCTGTTGGTAACCCTTTTCACTTAACAACTGATATAGCTCAAGTTTTGCTATATGTGTCTCTTTCCATTTACCAACTGATAAAAATTTTGACGAAAGACCATACCCCATTGCCCCTCTTGATATAATGCTCCCCCTCCCCCTCCCCTGAACAAGTCAGTCAGTCTGGTTACGGAACTGCAATAAGGTATATAAAAGTAGAAGCTGTAAATCTGGGTACCATCTGGTTGTAGAATAATGATTATCTATCAATATATAATATCTTATAATCTATTCTCTATTCTTTAATCTTCAATATCATTATCATTATTAACACCATTAATCTGGCTCTACCTGTTCCTTTGGCCTGATATCATTATTAACACCATTAATCTGGCTCTACCTGTTCCTTTGGCCTGATATATAGATCTGATATCAGGACTGTTAGGGTCATTATTGTGAAAAGCAGAAATAGAAATTACTGTAATGGAGTTTTACATCCTACTTAATTGTTCCAGTTTTGGTCAAATGAAGACAAGCAGTGTGCAATGAGGGCACTTTTCAAATATAACAATGTTATCTTATGAGTCTCAATTTCTCACCCTAGCCACAGGACACTTTATCCAAGCTATTAGTATAGAAAGGAATCAAAAACCTAATTACCAAATGATGTCAATAAATTTTCTACCTCCAATTAACGTCTGACTCAAGGGCAATAACTCATCAAAGTAAACGCTTGATCAGTTTATAGATGTTTATAATTACAACATTTGTTTTGAGTTAGGCATCAATTCAAAGAGAAACACCAGACGTATTGTCTCTCACATTAATTGGCCATTTTCCTAAAATTATTCTCATCTGATTGATAAAGCACCTGTTGAAATACCTCCACATTTCTACCTCTAATTATAAAGAGTTGTGTTATATTGCTCTATTGACGAGTAAATATCTGATATAGAATCTTTTTGTTCAAATTTGCTGGTCTAATTTCTACCCCTGAATAAAGATAGCTTACCAGACAGGGTGACATACACCAACTGATGCATCCCCTCAATCTACACAAACCTATTAAGTTTGGGAAATGAGTTTTACGTTAGTTTTATATTTATAAGAATTTTATGCTTTACTTTCCACAAAAAATAGGCTGATACAAACAGACGATGTCATGCAGTGGGCAATGACTCGGAAACTAGATGTAATATCATAAACAACAAACTCCATCAGATCTTATCAATCAAGAAGCATTCCAAGATTCATCAAAAGTTGTGTACAGACTGATGGAGGTGCATGCTGGCCAGTAGCCAGACTTGATTGTTCAGAGGGGCAAGTAATGTACCTGGAGGGGCAAGTAATGTACCTGGAGGGGCAAGTAATGTATCTAGAGGGGTAAGTAATATATCTGGAAGGGTAAGTAATATATCTGGAGGGAAGTAATATATTTGGAGGGGAAAGTAATGAATACAGAAGGGCAAGTAATATATCCAGAGGGGCAAGTAATATATCCAGAGGGGCAAGTAATATATCTGGAGGGGCAAGTAATGTATCTGGAAAGGCAAGTAATATATCTGGAGGGGCAAGTAATATATCTAGAGGGGCAAGTAAT